ATAAATGGCTGCCCACTGCTCCGGGTGTGTGTTCACGGTGTGTGTGTGTTCACTGCTGTGTGTGCACTTTGGATGGATAAATGCAGAGCACTAATTCTGAGTATGGGTCACCATACTTAGCCACATGTCACGTCACTCATTTCACTTATAGTGACATAGGCAAAACAATTTTTGGGCCCCCCTTCTTTATTAATAGGCCTATATAATATTACCACCCCAGCAAATAAAATATTTCGTAATCAGTGGAAACCGTTACAGTGTTTTCTATCGCAATAAAGCGCTTGCATTCAGTCAATAAAAATCAAATGTCTTAATTTGTTTGAGAATGGAGAAAGACCCTTCCATTAGGCTCCAGCGTCGTGGCCACATTACCACTTCGGGAGTGCATTATTTCTCTAATAATTTTAATGGCCTGGTGTCACAACTACACCTCAAGATATTGTTTAGATATTTCAAGATAAACCTTCCGTTGCGAATTCCAAAACGTCATTTTAGAGCTAATAACAGAGGTACATAACATTTTTACATTTTACATAAAAAGGTGGAAAACATGGAACTAGTTTGTCATTTTTTACCCTATTGTTTGTTATATTTATTTGCTCAATGTCTTCTGGTGTTTTGGTTCTTTTACTCTTGTAGATAGCCCATAGTAAAACAAAAAATATTATATATCTCTTCATTGTGTTTGCCCCTGGACGAGGGCGTATAGGCACGTGCCTAGAATTCCTATTGCCTATACGTAAATCCGGCCCTGCATATTACAGATGCGTTGTCTGATTTAAGTTGAACCACGGTCCTAGTGCGTGCGGAACCAGAGAGAGAGAGAGAGAGAAACGTGCAACATACAATTTATACTTTTATATTTAACATATCCTGCTCATTTCTTATTCACGTTCTTCTGCATAATCACATCTAAATATAATTTTTTAAAATATTAATATTATTATTATTTTGTACATTTTGTATATTTTGTATAGTCTGTTTCTCTCTCTCTCTCTCTCTCTCTCTCTCTCTCTCTCTGTGTATGTGTGTGTGTGTACTGGAAGCTTCACCAAGACAAATTCTTAATTCTGATTGTAAATGATAACGATAATTACATTAGGATTCAATTTGGCTGTCACAATGCATTTATTGTTTATCAGCTGGAAAAAAAAATCATTATGAAAGTGATTCCAACAAAATCATTACTCTGTGTTGTTATCGTTATAGCTGTGGAGTAGCCTACAATTCTCTAGAATTATAACGATTAAGCTAATTAAACTTTATAGTTATAATTATGATTATACTCCTTGGTGTGAACAGGCCTTAAAACATGTATAGAACTTTTGAGATTAAAATGTCGTACACTCACATTAAATATACATATCAGTGTTCTAGAAAAAATATTTTACATGGAGCGGGCCACTCCTTCATGGATGCAGCCATGTTGATTACATGACCAGATGTGCCATGCAACTGACTACTACTAATAGTGTTTGCTTTATATAGCACTTTCAGACAGTGCACAAGGTGGCATAAACATAAAAGTACAACTAAATGGAACAAGCAAACCCAACAATATAACAATAAACAGAATATACTACAGACACAACATAACAACAAAGTGAAATTGTGTGATCCATGAGTCCAAACAGAATGGGCACGAGTGGAAAAACAAGAATGACTTGCCTAAATTACAAAGCGTGTGTTTTTGGATGCTTATATTAATGAATAAAAAATAGTAGTCAGGGGTCAGCCTGTGGCTGGAGGCCTCTGAGCACTGGCCTGGTCCATAATCCAGTTTTGCTTTCAGTGGTTTTGTTGCCTTAATTCATTTTCATTTATTAGTTCGATTTCTGTTCAGGGTGTGCGCCAAATTTCGTGTTCTGATTGGTCGGCGTTTACGTCAATTAAAAAAGGGTGGGCGTTCAAATCTCTCTTCAACTTCCCTGATAAAGTAAAGCGGCATACGGCCGCTTGAAGTGTACGAGCAACAAGCCACTCCTAAATTAATCGCAGTTACTAACACAAAAATTATCTCCTTTTGGGGAGATTAAATAGTATGTTCGACATAGTTTGAACTGGATTAATAGCTCTATATTTAGCCGTTCACACGTCGATTTAGCTTACTTTTGTCCTCATCGCGTGTGGATTTTAAAGTGGACTTCTGGTGAATGCGGTGAGTGTCTCTGCCTTCCTTCCACCTCTAGCTAACACACATCCACTTAGCCTGACATGTCTGTCATTTTTTCCTCTTTAGATCGCACTTAAAATACACATTTTAGCTGGGTTTTATGTTGATTTATTGTTCGATCGATCATATGTTTTTCTCTGTTAAGGATAAAAGATCAGTTTAGAATACACGCAACTTGATCAACTGTCAAAAAATGTAATTGAAAAGTTGAAAGGTTCAGCTCTAAATGCGTGTCAAACTGAAACTTTACACGGATTTAGGACCCGTATGACTAAAATCCACTCTGATGGAAACAAGTTACAAAGTAAGTTATCGAAGTGGTTAGTTTCCTGGTTTGAGTTAATCTTCTAGCTCGTTTGGCCATGATGTTCATGCCTGACAGAAGTCAGTTAGCCAACATGCTAACTTACATGGCTACACGTCCAGCCAGCTGAAAGATTACAAAAGTGGATTTCATTTCTTCCCGTGGACAGTTGTGTTTGTTCTTATGGGTTCATGTTAAGACCGTATAGGGTGACACACTACCCAAAAAAGTGACTGTGATGAGTAATATTGAGTTCCTGAGAAGTGTTGATCGATAAGTGCTGGGTGGAGGTTAGCTTAGCTCATCGGGATATTAGCGGTTTTTCAAGTTGAATAAATTGCCTAGTTGCTCATCGTTTAGTAACGTAATCTTAACCTATTTTGTGCCATGCTTTCACATCTGCCTCTTCTATCTCTATCTGTACTTGTCAGTGTTGCGCAAGTTTAGAAGGTGTTTCATAACATGCTTGGGTTATTAATAAAAACAAACAAATTGTCATAAGGAATGAAGTCTGTTAATATTGTTAGTGTAGTGCACTTTAATACAAAAGACATGATGTTTTCAGTATGTCGAAGTACCCTTGCCAGACTTTTCTCTTAACAAGTGTTTTTGTTCTTTATACAGTTGTATTGCTAGCAGTAATAACAGTACAAGCAGTTTTCATTGTGTTTAGCAACTATGAAGAGTATAAAATTTGTTCTGAATAATTTTGGCTGCTTTGAAAAGGCCTGTTTTGTCCTTTTGTCAATTATAATGACTTACTGTTTTGAGTTTATTCTTTACTTGCTGTTATAAGGTTTTAAACTATTTGTTTTGTACCTTTTCATTTAAAGGTGAATAATTTCTGTTGTCCTTCGTCCAACACATCCCGGCTAAAACAATGCCATTCCCTTTTGGGAAGTCTCAGAAGAGCCCTGCAGAGATTGTGAAGAGTCTGAAGGAGAATGTGGCATACTTGGAGAAGCTGGAATCATCTGAAAGCAAGAAATGTGAAAAGGTTGGTCCTTTTTTGTCAACATCTCAATGCAAATGTTTTAGCAAACTGTGGACTGTGACGGAGTCAGAAAAACTCAGTTTTTCCTGTAGGTTGCAGAGGAAGTATCAAAAAATCTTGCGTCGTTGAAAGAGGTGCTGTGTGGCACTGGAGACAAGGAGCCTCAGACTGAGGCAGTGGCTCAACTGGCTCAGGAGCTCTACAACACCAACCTCCTCATTTCCCTCATAGCAAACCTACAGAGGATTGATTTCGAGGTGCATATCATTGCTTTTGAAATGTTTGAAATACAACTATGTCCGTCTTGCTGTAAGATATATTGCTCCGTGCACTAACCACACATTTGTTGTCTGCTCCCTTTGATTTATAACACGTTGTTCACCAAAGGGAAAGAAGGATGTGGTGCATCTGTTTAGCAACATAGTGCGTCGCCAGATTGGCGCTCGCACCCCAACTGTGGAGTACATCTCTTCCCACTCACAGATCCTCTTTATGCTGCTGAAGGGGTGAGTTTCCAGACCCCAGGGCATAGCCATAGATCAACACTTTCAGAAGCCATTGATTAGCCTGGCTTTTCCAATTGATGTTATGGGAGACTGTGGTTGGATGGTTATTTTAGGACCATCATTTTCCCATTTCCTGTCCACGTGGCTAAGCTGCCAATGGAGTTTAGCTTTTACAGCACAAACATTTCAAGTTATTGACACTTTGGTGTGATATTATGTATGAATAATGACTTATGTGGTTATATATATATACGTATATGCAAACAAATGTGGTTCTTCCACGTTAGAGAAATAACCAGGCTTTATTTATTTATTTATCTTTTGAACGCAGCTATGAAACCCCAGAAGTGGCCCTTAACTGTGGCTTGATGTTGAGGGAATGTCTGCGTCATGAACCTCTGGCCCGAATCGTTCTGTTCTCTGAGGAGTTCTACTGCTTCTTTCGCTATGTGGAGCTATCTACTTTTGACATTGCCTCTGATGCTTTCGCCTCTTTTAAGGTATGATATTTACGCAAAGTATCATCCATTTTGTAAGTTTTGACTTGCAAACATTGTCTTAGGAACATGAAAATGGGCCACAATACACTAATAAATTGATAGCCAAACATTTTATATTTCATCACCTGAGCTATTTATGCAGTGATGTCATAAGAGTGTTTAAGGTTATTTATTTATTTTAGAATTAAATGAAACCAAAAAAAAAATAACTCGTAGGTATGTACAACAAACTATTATGAAGAGAAAAAAAGGAAAAATCCCACACTGTCATACTTTGCAGAAACAAACTTTATTTATTACAATGTTTTGGCCATATGACAGAAGCCACAATAGTATTTTTATTTTTTTTAAGTGTTAGTTGATGACCCATTTCCAATTGTCCATCCATTGAACATCTATGAGTTCTAAATTTTCAAGCCTCAAAAAAGTACATAAAGAAATAATAAAAGTAATCCATATGAATCAAAAGTTTTAATCCAAGTCTTCTGAAAAAAACAATCACTTTATATTTTGATTACTTTTTATTCATATATAAACATTGATCAACATGCATAGATAGAACACATCAAATATGATAAAAGGAAGCTCAAAGGTGTGTGCTTGATGCACGAGAACAAATGAGGCAGAATTTGTATAACAGAATGACAGAATTAATATTTTTGGTTGACCATCACTTTAAATCAAAGAATCGAAAACCTTTCAAAAGAGAAAATGACGAAAGTCTTTGTTTTTAGGATCTGCTGACAAGACACAAGATCATGTGTGCAGATTTCTTGGAGTCAAATTACGACAGAGTGAGTTACTCTTGTTTCCCAAAATTTAATGTGCAAGTGCTTTTAAATGTAAGTTTTTTGTTTTTGTTTTTTTTTTCTGGCTGCTGTACTTCATGGACCAAAAAGTATTATGATTAATCATTTCATAACTGTTTTTAGGTGTTCACAGAGTATGAAAGGCTGCTGCATTCGGACAATTATGTCACCAAGCGCCAGTCTCTGAAGGTGAGCATAAACCACTGTTTTCACAGAGGTGTTTTCAATAATTCAAGGCTGCAATGGTATTCAAACCCTTGAGGTGGAGATTAAGCTGCTAGGATCTATACATGAAAGACAGATAGTCAAAGAAAAGAAAAGTTATCAAGTCCTTTTCTCAGAAAGATGCTTCTTTGTAACTTGAATAGCCACATACTTTTTTTTTTCTTCACATAGGAATGTTTTATGACAAACCTTGCTTTGTTGAATTAATCGGCAATATGTTGGGCGGTTTGGCTTTATTCTTACCACATAGTTTTGCTGTTGTTCTTAAGTGAGTTTGACTATCAAATGATATCCAGCTCTTAGGAGAACTATTACTGGACAGACACAACTTCACAGTCATGACCAAATACATCAGTCGAGCTGAGAACCTAAAGCTGATGATGAACATGTTGAGAGACAACAGCCGTAACATCCAATTTGAAGCCTTCCATGTCTTTAAGGTATGTGTTTATATGCACAGCATTTCAAGTAACTTAATATATTTGGATTTGGCACTTCGCTTGTCTGCCTTTCCCTCTGTCTACTCCAATTACTTTCCACACTCGGCAGCTGACCGGTCTTCTGTCCCAGTTTTGCCCTGACTTACTGAATGTAAACCGGTCAGGGTCAGTTGCTAGTGTGTGCTGTAGTTCAGACTGCATGAAGGTAGATTCAGTGACTTGGACCGTTTCTTGTGTCCTTTCAGGTGTTTGTGGCTAACCCCAATAAGACACAGCCGGTGCTGGACATCCTCCTCAAGAATCAGTCCAAGCTGGTGGAATTCCTGAACCACTTTCAAATGGACCGTTCTGAAGACGAGCAGTTCTGCGATGAGAAGAACTATCTCATTAAGCAGATACGGGACTTCAAACGGCCTGCACCTGCAGAGGAGTCCTAATGGGAAAACGTGGAGTGTAGAACCAGGGAGCTTGGCTAGTGAAGTGGTTTGATTATGTGGGTGAGAATTGGATGGGAGGGAAAAAAAGTCTAAGAAAGAAAGGCTGGCATCACTCGGAATAAATCTATTTACATCCAACTTCTGAAACGGGTAGAGAAATGCTGTCAGGATGTGCAAACACATGTCTGTCCCTTTACTTGGGGGCGAGCAGGTTCATGCTGCAGGAAGTGCAAGTGGAACCCAGGCACTCTATTTAAACCTATATACATTTTTAGCACTGCCCCTAAAAAGGAAGTATAGTTGATTTACCTTTAGACAGTAAATCTTAGATTGAAAAATATCCAAATTCATCAGAATGAAAAGTATATTGAAAGCCTGATCAAGCCTTTTTAATATATTTAAAAGGAAGTAGTAGTATATTGGTACAGGTATGGCTCTGCATATTTGCACTAAATCTGGTAGCTTTGCTCCAGGTAGGCCATTAGTGCCAGTTCATAAACCAAATATTAATGAACACTTTAAAAATGAAAACGATAGGTCACAAATAAAGGACATTATGGGGCCTTCAACTGGGCATTCTCACGTTTAAACTAGTTAAGGGACATTAAAGCATTTTTATATCCTGAAAATGTCATGTGGTCAAGTGAAATGCGATGGAAAAAGTAGCTCATAGAGTTAAGTGGTCATGTTGGATGCTGCACTTAATTTCCATTTTAACTGGGTGCCTTATTTAAGTAGCTTGGTCATTCTGGGTCTTCTATTACATTTATATTTATCTATAACATTGGATTTGTAGTATTATTCTGCTTTTGCTTGGGTTAACACCTTAGGAGGACTCGTTTTATTTAAACTATTTAAAAAAAACACATATAATGATTAAAAACAATACTCATTTAAAGTTTTCTCAGTTTAGATGAACCATGCAATGAATTCAGGGTTCATAGATTTCAGTAATGGTGAAATATATGGTACACGATTACCGTGCAAGACATGATAACCTACACACACACACACACACACACACACACACTGTAACACTGAAAGATTGTGAAATGTTAAAGCTGGGGCATGTCATGACATTCCTTGAGCTGCGCTTTGATGGGCAGCTTAGACAAGCCAATTAAGCCTTTAAAAGATTGATGCAGTAGGAAAGACCATTTAACACAGTTCTTCATGTCCTGCACTGTCAAACTTGAATGAGCCAAAGCTGTGGTAACATGTTATATCTTAAGATAGACCTAGAATTTGATTCTCCAGTGGATTGGTCCTTTCAGTAGCTACTGAAGGGTTCCACCATTAGTCTTTATATCTTAAGTTGAATATATTTTATGTACTCTGTTTGCACAAGTTCCTTTCTCATATACCTCATAGGTTTTAAATTCCTAAGTGCTGTTTTTTTCCGCTTTGATTCAGTAGATACTATGGAAACACTTTACAGTAAGGTTAAATTCATTAACATTGGTAAATGCATTTGGTGTCATGAACTAGCATTTATTAATCTTGGTTAATGTTATATTCTACATATACATTTCAGATTGCATAAATTAACAGTTTATGTATTACGAATGAACATGAATTAATAATGAACGATAGCATATTTATTAACAATTAACGTTAACTTAGATTAATAAAAAATAGTTTATGGTACCTAATGCATTAACTAATGTTAACAAATCAAACCTTAGTGTAAAGTGTTTCTGGTATTATTTTGGATGTGGGGCGGTAGTTTGAATTATGCAAGCTAAAATACGGCCTTACGACATGCCAAAGTTGTGGTCTTGCAATGCTGAATAGGACCTAGAAGGGAAATGATTTAATTTTTTCAGTTTGCTAATGGATACATAGAATGTCACGAGTGTGAGGAAAGCACTCGCCATACTTGTGCAACTGCGCCACAGTTTCACTCTAAAAGGTTTTTAATGGATTCATCCAAATGTCAATGTGTGCTTTTGTGCTTTGACATCGTTTCAGTCCGCTCATCACCAGAAGCAAATTTTATTTTGTATTTTTTTGAAAATATGACTTGTGGAAATGTGGAAATTTATTGTATTTAGGAAGTGAAGGGGGACAAAGACCTTCTGAGCTGCCTTTATTTGCTTTTATGAACTGCACCACATCTGCAATCACAAAGCCTTTGTGTTGAACGGTGGCCTAGACTGATTCATTCGCCTTTTTTCCCAAAAGATCTACAGCTATCGTTAACCAAATATTTCTGCCATTTCATTAAATGTCATTTGATGCCACATGTACAAGAATGGTGTTTGGCCAAATGTGATTCCACTGACAGGGTTTTAAAGGAGGTTTTTGTCCTTAAGCTCATTGAAGCTGAGCCTTCAGATTCTCCATGCAGTGATAGTGATCTTTGAAAAAGAGATTCAAAATAATATGTTAGATCTTTGGTAAGTTATTACGGTGGATTATATACACCATTATTATTTGCATTTTGACTGATAATGTTAGCTATGCTTTCACTCATTTTCCCTTTCTGTTATATTTTCCACTGTGGGAGAGGATTATATATGTACATAAAGTTTTATTTTAAAAAGAGTAAGTGTGGATGCATATTGAAAATAAAATAAACGATGGCACTTCTTGTGTGCGGTAACATTAATTTTGTCTTTATTTAAACAGGATTTAAATGGCTGCATTTTAATTCACATTTATATTATTGTAACTAATTATTGGCTGCTAAAGTGTCTGCGTAAGAGCTCGAGGGCTGTGCGATTCCGTGCATGACTCTCTCTGCACACAGGTCAGCTCGGGTCTGCTCCA